TGGGATCTGACTCCAGGGCTCTTTGTTTAGAGGTAGTTGCATGACATTTCAAATTTTCATGCTTCCCTAGAAACCACAATATATGTATGAAAGAAGCTATGGGAAGAAAAATGTAATAAAACAGCTACTAAATTGGGACTAAAAAACAGATCTCTGGTGGTGTGTGGTATGTGGTGGTGGTGGTGTGTGTGGTGTTTGGTGGTGTCTGGTGGAGGAGTGGTTCAACAGATCCCAGGTGACTAAATGCTAATGAAGTGGGAGCATTGGTTCTGGGGCAGCGGCAGACTGTTTGGTACCTGTAAGGTAGAAAGAGAAACCAGCTGGGTGACTCTGACTCTCCCAGCTGTAAAATGAAATTTATATCCTAGTTAACTCTATCATGAGGCTGTTGTGTTAGGAAGGTAAAATGAGATCAAGGAGAGTCTTCAAAGTACAGGAAACACACAATATGTACATAACCCAAATATAATCTGGGGCTCCATATGGCTCAGTCTTGCACGGATCACACTCAGAAGCACACACTGGCAAAGGAATTTAAAAGGAACCCCAATCTTTACACTAAAGTGTGTCCAACTCACAATTCTCAGCAAGGTGCCTCAAAAATCCATTTATTTCCCGCCCCCATCTTCTTGCTCCCCTTTGCAGCTCTGAGACTCTATTATTAGCCCACACCAAAATTATACATGGCTCTGTTGCTACCTTCTCCACGCAGGTCTCTCAGCTCTGAGTTAATCAAGTCTCTGCTCCTCGTTTTAATTTCCCTCCACCTTTACCATTACCTGAATTTGCCACAACTAAGGAGACTCTGGAACCAACCCCAAAAGTAAAACTCCTTTCCTTTTTCCTCCCATCTTCTCAGTTTTATACCTCAATCTCCTTTTTTCTAATTCCACACCACAAAACTCCCAGGAACAATGAAGGAAGACTGAACAATCCAGAGAGAAAAAAACTGTGGTAAGCAAAGTACGGTTCTTTTATGACTGTTAATAATCTTGTACCAACACACACAATTGTCCTGAAGTTCCCCCTGACCCCCACTAGCCACAAGAACTGGTTTTTATACTTTCTAATCATGCTGATTTTCCTTCGCATTGTCACTCACTTTTGCACCCCCTACCAAGGTCTCAGCAAAGCCTGGCTTCCTGGCTTAGCATCTGGCTTCCTTGCCGACTCCAGTTTCTCAGTTTTCCAACCTGTCCCACACATTTTGCAGCTGATCTTTACCACACTCCGCAGTCACTGTGCTCCCTGCTGAAGTTCCCACTGCCCTAGTACATGGAGTCTAAGTTTGTACCCAGGTAACCCCATTGAACACTGGGCTGCATGTCTGTACCCTGTTTTAACTGCACTGGTCTTGCAGTAAGCACCCACCTGAGTTCTGCTCCTGCCAAAAGGCCACCCCATCTCTCGATTCTGAACCACAGCACTTAGAGTCCATACCACATGGTCTCACTTTTGATTTTCACTGTCATTTGTTTTAAAGCCTTGAGTCTTCTTCCAATAAGAGTGTAAGCTCTGAGATCAAGAACCTTAAAGGCTTTATAAAAAGCACCCAGAGGTCCTCAAAAGCCATCATCCTCTATTAGCTCATGGCAAGAAAAACAGACTGGTGTCTACTCCAAAGGCCTTAATGAAAATCTCGAGATGTCTCTGCCAAGTCTTTTGCATTAACTCTTCGCCAAGTCATTTTTAAGAACTCAGGGATAAAGGGCAGAAGGAACACTCTTTTAAAATGTATGTATTTATTGCTTTTATGATAGATAATTTATTTATCTGGCTCAAAACTTAAAATGAAGTCAGCCTCCCACCACCATTTCTCAACCACACAGCTTCCTTGCTGAGGCAAACAATGGCTGGTTTCTCATTTATTTTTCAATAGGTATTTGCTGCATGTGCAAGCCAATATGAACATATCCTCCTTTTCTCTCCTCACTTTTTTATTAACAAGCTAGCATGCAAAACACAATGTTCTACATTTTGCATTTTTTGGTTAACAATATATCTCAGACATCGTCTCATATCAGCACTTCCCCACACTTTGTCTTGTGGCCGTGTAGGGTACTAGAGTAGAAATGACCTGAATTTGTTTAAGCAGTTTCCAGTTAGATAGTGAGGGTGTTTCCAGTCTTCTACTACTATCAACAATGCTGCAATGAATAAGCCTGCTTGGAGCATAATGTCATATATGTATCTTTGTGGGACAAACCCCTAGCAGAATTGCTGGGTCATAGGGTAAGGTACATATGTGATTTTGAAAGATATTTCTAGATTGCTCTCCAAAGAGATTGTATCAATTTACACTCCTCCCAACAATGTGTAAGGGTGCCCATTCCCCATACCCTCAGCCATTTAATAGGTGAAAATTTTATTTCAGTGTAATTGGATATGTACTGCTTTCCTCATGAATGTAGCTCAGTAGCTTTTTATGTTTAAGGGCGTGGGTGTATATGTGTGTGTGAACTCTGTTTTTATCCTCTGCTCACTTTTCTTTGGTGTTCCTGATCTTTTCCTAATCAATGTACAGAAACTTTTTTATATATTAGGGGAAGTTGCCCTTTGCTATATGGCTGCAGATAATTTCCTGTTTGTTGTTTGTCTTTTTGACCTTGCCTTTGGGCTATTGCTAGGTGAAATTATTATTCTGTAGTCAAATTTATCAGCCTTTGCTTTTATGACTCCTAGGTTATGTGTGTCTTGCTCATTGAAAGGAGCAAGACTGAGCACCCTCCTACACACACCTTTTTAAAATTTTGTCAGTACAAGAAGCTTAGAATGACTTACCAGGTTTTGTGGGGACAACTCTGGCCCTCCAGGAGATCCCAGTTTTAGGGGGACACAAAGTAAGCTCACTTCTGTGTTGCAATTCTGTGTTGTAATAAGTAAGAGGGGCACATTGAGAAATGTGCCTGAATTGGCCAGGGAAGGCTTTCCAAAGGAGGTGGCTCCCGGGCACATCAGAGGCATGAGTAAGAGTCAGCCAGGTGAAGAATGGCCTTCCAGTAAAAGTGGCAGCATATGCAAAGGCAAGAAGCAACAGGGCTGGGTCAATGTCTGGCAAGAGTTTAGGAGCCCTACAGGATTGGCGGGTGGTAAGGGGTGGAGCTAGAAAGGAAGGCAGGGGCCAGATCACACAGGACCAAGTATGTACTGCGTAGAAGTCTGGGCCTTCCCCTGAGGCAACGGGGAAGGGAAGAGGTACACTTCAGCCATGTAGAGGAAGAACTGAAGACAGCCCAGTGTGGAGGCTGAGCCCTGGGTCAGGGGCTTCTGCCTTTTGCCCAGCAACAGCCACAGTGGTCTACAAAGGCTCCAGGGTGCCAAACAAAGTGCAAATTTCAGACCCAAATGTTCTATTCTGTCAAACTTCCAGAATTCTATAAAAATCATCAAGGAAGCTAGCATCTTCTCTGAGAAACATTTCTACCCAAGATGATGACAACTTTAAAAGTTTAACTCTTAGTGGGGAAGGCTGTGGTTATCACTCTCACTTCAGCACCCCTCTGGCAGATGGGGCCAGGTTAATGTAGTTTGGGCACTAGTCATACAGTTCAGGGAACAACTGGGCTCTTCAGCCCTAGCCAGTTCATCCAGATACCCATTCAAAATGGGCAACAAGGGTGCATGACTGACATGTGAATGACAGACCCCCAGGGATGGGGTCTCCAGCTGGCCCACATCCAAGAAACATCTCTCTCCTTCTATCCAACTAGGCTCAGTCTTGCTGAGTAGCCACAGCTGTTTTCGGAGGTAGTGGGCAAAGGCCTACGGACTTCTCTATTCTGTGACCTTTTAAAACAGGCATTCTGCAGATGTCCTGGGCAACTGTCTTCCCAAAAGTGTCCAGCACAGAGCCTGGCCCATAGTAAGCACTCAGTAAATGGTAGCAGTTCCTGTTAAAACTGGAAAGGCTCACTGTTCATTAGCAGCTGAGGGAAGGAAGGGCAATGTAGACAGGAGGGAACTTGGAAACCATTTAAGTGAAACTTTGGGACTGTCTCTAGATTTCAGTTATCCAGGCCTTCCCCATGCCCTGACCCCCAAACCAGTCAAAGAGGCTAGTTTTTGATGCTGCTATTTTAGTTATATTTTCTTTATTGCTCAAAGGCAATTTTACCTCAAAGGTTTACTTGATTAAGTCAAATGCTGTAGAGATAAAGGCTCTTGGAGGCTGCTGGAGGCTTTGGTTCCAGTCGCAGACTTCCTGGTGCCTCTTGAAGGCATCATTACCCTCAGTGGTCCAAGGGCATGCATGGGATCCTGCTCAACCCATGCATGGAAGGCAGGAGGGCAGGAAGCCAACCCAACCTCAGTTCCCAGTAGGCAAACGAACCCCGCCTACTGCAGCCACCCTAGGACTAAGCATGTATCTCTGGAGTCGCAGCCCCTCTCCTCGTCTGCATATGCTGTTGGACAGGGTGGCGGGGAGCAGAGACACCCAGGCCCCATCTCAGGCGCAGCAAAGCTGATGAGGACATCAGGAAGCAAGGGGCCTAGGTTCCAGGGCAGATTCCAATCCTGCTGGCTGTGCACTTGTCACTTGCATAAAGGGCCATGTCCACTTAGGGTCAGGATTTTATTTTTCCCAAAATGAGAAAATCTATTTCAGCAAATTTTAGAAGTGCTCACTGGTATGTATACATATCTAGCATTAACTTCCATTTATTTGACATGTACTATGTAGGAGGCACTTAGTGGGGTAGTTATTCTGAACAAATTCTCTCATTTGATCCTCTCAACAACTCTGTGAGGGTAGGATAATATAGATGAGGAAAGTGAGGGTCAAAAGGCCAAGGCCCTGAGCCAAGGTCCCACTGCTAGCACATGGAAGAGCTGAGATTTGAACTAGGGGCTATCTGGCTTCAGGGCCCTTTGCCCTTAACCACCACATGACATGGGGCCCAAGGAGCACCAGTCTGTCGTTAGCCCAGACCCTACCCCAGCCACACCTAGCAATACCCCTGATCTCTGAGATCACAGATGGGCTGTAAAGGAAGGAAAGAGTCTCTCAAAAGGTCACTTTATTTCTCAGTACCCTCCATCTCACAGCATGGTCTGTGGGAAATCTCAGGGACTTGCCAACTTGCAGGCTTTCCTGACTGCATGGCACCAGGACAACCCACCAAGGAGCTAAAACTCCAAAGGCCTGGCCAGGGGCCCGCCACACTGGGGCTCTCCAGCTGAGGCAATTTCTAAAAGTGGTTCCTGGGCATGATGTAGAATCAAGGTTGGTCAGTCACTCCTTGGTCCCCTCCCAGGGGCACAGGGACAATACAGCAGCTTGCTCCTCTGGCTTGCTGGGCCCATCCTAGGAAAAGGTGAGGAGGGGCTCCCAGAAAGCAGGTATCTTCTGGTTGAACGAAGTTGAGACCTGGGCCTTTGGTCTAGTTTAATGTGGGGCAGGTCAGGCTCTTGGAGGCTGTGCAACAGGCCAGGCCAGACCCCTACTCGGCAAAGGCAAGTCTCCACCTGATGTCTACCTTCACCAACTCGGCCTAAAAACACACTGGGTACAGGACACAAGTAGCAGAGGTCCTGGGTTCAACTCTGCTGGAAGGAGAGGACTTCTTTCACTTTGTTCACAATGGTGCCCACCTCAGCCATGGCTCCCAGACCTAGAGAACAAAGTTCTGCTGTGGCCTACAGACTGAAGCAAGGCACCATCCCCCACTCCCACCCCACCAAGTATCCCCCGCCAAGGGCTCCACCCAGAGCCCAGTGCCTGAGAAGGCCAGGGCCCTCTGCCTGAGCCAGACCCATCACATCCTTCCGAGACCCCCAGGACAGGTCTCAGGAACAGTTCCTGCAGCCGTCAAGAACTGCGCATGGACTGCATGCCACAGATGATGCCAGGCACCTTACGTAAACTATCTCATTTAATCCTAACAACTCTGAGGGAAAAGAATTATGATTTCCATCTTCCAAATGAGAAAGCTGAGCTTGGAGTAGTTTTGCCTGAGGTCACAACAGGCTGGGATCTGAACCCAGATCTACAACAGGCTGGGATCCGAACCCAGATCTGACCCTAGGTCGTAAGGACAGACTGTGAGCCTGGCCAGCTTCCCACCTTGGTCGCCACACACTAGCTTCTTGGCCACACAGGGGATCTCGATGTAGCCGAAGGCCTTGAGCTGGTCCACCTGCTGTGAGGTGATGGGATGCTCCCACATGGCCGTGTTCATCGCTGGGCAGAAGAGCAGGGGCTTTCTGCGGTCCCAGGCCCGGATGACACAGGTCTGTGAAGAAGGGCAAAGGTTGGGAAAAGGGTGCCTGCTGATCTGCCTGCCACTCCTCCCCAGCCCTTCCAAATCTCACACACCATCCTCTGGGCCATGACTAACCAGAGCGTTGGGATGACTGGGAGCTGCTATCTGCAGGGAACTATCTCATGTCACTCAGGGTGTGGAGCCATGTCTCCTCACCCCTCTCTACCTTCCCATAGGATCTGAGACAAGGCCCTATACACAGGAGGGGTCTCCTTGTGTGCCCAAGCACAAGGCTTCTCTACAGCTAGCCATACCTCACAGAGAGAAGCAACCCTGGGCAGGAACAGAAGACTAGCTCTACAGTTACCCACAGAGCTAAGGACCAGACTGCTCAGCAGATGGGGCCCGCCCACCCCGACAGTGGCTATATACTTCAAGGCCAACAAGAGCTGAGGCCAACAACATCTTATACATGACAAAGACCCTCTCACATGTATTATCTCATGAACACCCACTGCAAACTTGTAAAGAAGGTGCTGTCCATTTCACCAAGGGGGAAGCTGCACTCCTCAGAAGTGAGTAGTTGCCCCAAGTCACACACCCAAGGAATGATCCGGGGAATGAGGCTTTGTACAACCTCTACTGCACTTTGCAACCTCACTACCTCCTTATTTCTCCAGGCCATCTCATTGAGCCAGGGATGAGAGCAGCTATGAAAGAGAACAATCAGCTCACAGAGTCCTTAGCGCTGTGGATTTTAAAATCACGTAGACGTGACTTCAAATTTTGACTGTGCTATCTACTACTACTGGCCGTGAGAACTTGGACAAGTTATTTAGTACTCTGAGTCTCAGTTTCCTCTCTGCAAAAGCCCCTCTCATTGGGTGACTGTGAGGCTTGAGGGTGAAAATGCTTAAAGCTCTTCACACAGGGCCTGACACAAAGTACAGGCTACTGAAACAGGAGCTCCTGTTATTATTACAGGCACAGGCTTCCTGGGCCAAGGGCTGCCTTGGGGAGAGATAACCATTGTGGCCCACAGGAGTATGCTCCCCTGTGTTCTGACTGTTCCAAGAATCTCCTACAGGCCCCTCAGGGAGACAAGCTGGCACACCCCCTTCCTGAAGTAAAACCCATCAGAGAAAAAAAGGAGCAGTCCAGAGAACAATGAAATGAATAGTCCAGGGCCAATAATGCCCCTCTCAGTGCCCCTGCCCTCTCCTGGAAACAGGAAGGAAGTAGGACAACACACAGCCTCAGGATTTGGCTATTTGCGTAGTCCCAGACACCAGCATTTGTTTCCCACCAAGATCTCTCAATTTGGCAACCGGACTATGAATGGACAGTTTCAGTCATACTTCCTCTTGGCCCTGTGCCACCTGCTGGTTCTGCATAAGTCACGAGCATGCCTAGAAGAGCCCCCTAACTGCATGTAGGTGGGTGGGGGTGAGCTGGGGTTTCTATGTGTCCTCAAAACAAAGCACACTGACCAAAGCAAAAACCCAACCCCTCCATGTTTCACATCTCTCTAGCTCTGCCCACCTCATCTCAAAGCTCAGTTCTTCCTGGACCTTCCAGCAGCAGGAGGCATGGGAGGAGGCATCAGTTCCCACGGTTACTTCTGTTTGGCCAATGCTGTGTTCAGCATCTCAGACTCTGGCCCTAGGAATTCACTTGGGCAGAGAAAAGGCCTGGATCCTGGTCAGGAGACCAGTTCCCAGCTAGACTAGTCACCCAAGGAGGTCATCTCCTCTTTCTGAATGTGCTAGGCTGTTTAGCACAAAGAAGGGGCTAAACCCTGAGTGGGCCAGAGGGTGGGTGAGGTGCCAAAGGCCCAGAGGTCAGTGCACAGGTTCACACCCAGCACTGGGCACTGGAAAGGGAGGAAATCTGAAGTAGGGAGGCAACAGGGCAAACTTCTTTTCAAGTATACAAGGAGAAAACATCTTTTGAGAGAGGACAGAGCCATAGATCAAGGATGGTGACAGTTTAAACTTTACAAGATTTTCAATTCCTTGTAAGATCTGCCTTCAAGTGAAACCTTTTGAGGAAAATAGCCTGGGGGCTGGTCTTGGGAACATATTCTTGCTCAGCCAACTCAGGAGGAGAGAACCCTAAAGATTTCAGGGAACAGTTGGCAGCTTTGAAGGAAAAAAAAGAACTTTTGGGAGAAAGGAGGGGGCCCTCAAGAGACTGGCCCAGGCCTGGGCTTAACTCCTAGAGGTTGGATGCTATGCCACGTGGGCCGGCTGCTGCCCAGCAGGGGAAGCCTAGAGATTTGGTGACGGTGTTGGTCACACACAACTCCAACCCACTTTGATGAAAGTGGCAGGAGCTTTACAGGCTCTAGCCACCCTGTCAGCCCCAGCACCAGCCCCACTGGGAAGCCTTCTTGATCATATTGTCCCTAGGCTCACCCATCTATGCACTCTCCTACCCAGGTCCTGGCCACACAATCTGTGCTGCTCTTCTTCTGGACACCCTGTGTTCCTATTCAAATGATGCTTAAATCACTAGCAGATTCTTTTAGAAATGCCTTAAGCACCATCAGTAAGCACAGGAAGAAACTAACCTCCTATCTAACCACAAAAAATCTTGACCCAATTTCATTATTCACTTCTTCACCATATTTAATTCTGAAAAACTCGTAGCTGTTTGCCAAAATAAAATTACTAATTACCCCATACATACAATAAGTATTTACTGAATGCCTACTATATGCCCAGTACTGTGCTAGGTGGTGATTTCATTGTCAAAGGACCAACTGGGGTCATTTAAGATTGGACCACACCCCAGAGCATACATACTCCCTTCTCCCCTGCATGGGTAACCAAAAATTCTCTCCTTCCACACTGTGAGCTCCATATGTCCTGTGTGTCCCTCAGCATGGGGCCCAATTCATGGTATATAAAAGCTCAATGAATGAGGAAATGAGGTAATAAGGCAGAGGGAGGAAGGAGAAGAGATCATGCCTAACTCTTCCCAGGATGATCAAATAAACAAAGGCTCTTTAAGGACAATAGCTCCCCGGAGGTCCTTTAAGCCCTAGACAATCCTAACTTTGTACAGCTGGACTTCTGTTCCTCTCCTCCACCATCCATCAGCTCATGCTCTCAACCTGTGTTTTTTTTCTTTTACACCTACAGCACCTGGTATTCCTAGGTGGTCTCCCATCCAAGTTCTAAGCAGGCCTGACCCTGCTTAGCTTCCAAGATCAGACGAAATCGGGCACGTTTAGGGTGGCATGGCTGTAGTTCAATCTGTCTTTCTCCCCTCTTCCCTTCTAAATTTTCCATAATATACAGGAAAACTGCATATTATGCTACAGGAGAGATAAGTGTGCAAGAGAGATCCATTAGGAAGTAAATGCTCTTATCAGTTGCCCATGTAGATAAACAGATCCTGGTGAGAAGGCAGAGCTAAGGGAGGCAGGCAGTGGGGCTGGCCTGGGAAACCGACAGAAAGGCAGCCATGAATGAAGGACAAAGGGAGAAGAGCTGAAGGTCGAGGGGCAGATGAGAGGTGGACATCCTCAGAGAGCACACACAAGTCAAGTCCATCCATCAGGACCAGGTCTTCTACCCAGTTGCCAGAGCACAGGTGAGACAGGAGGGGGCAGCGGAAGTGTGCTCTGAGCAAACTGCCCAACATAAAAGGATTCCAAGGTGAGAACCTTGTATAAAGGCAGTCTGCAGCTCAGCAAACTGGAAGTAAGGCCCAGGGAGGAAATTGGGCAGGGAGTCACTCACAAGCAAATTGTCACAGATGCCACTGGCCACCTTCCCCAGAGTGTTGGCATCAAGAGGAGCCACCAGCATGAGGTCTGCCCACCTCCGCAGGTCAATGTGGAGAACTGGGTCAGACCGGTGCTTCCACATCTGGCAAAGAGAAAGAAATGGGGTCACTGGGCTGGCCACTCTCTCAGTGTGGAGGGAGGAAGTGTTGGGGGGAAAACCCAGCCAAGGGCACTAAGTCAGAAACCCAAGGGAGACCACCTGAGTTACCCCTGCCCAAATCCATTGCCATTCCCTCTCACAACTAAGCTGGTGAGCATTGGCTGTGGAGCCAACAGCCTGAGAGAAACCAGGCCTGAGGAAACAAATGCCCCTTGTCTCTCAGAGCTATTCCCTTTATGGTTTGGTTTTCAAGAGAACTGACATCTGGCAGGGAACTCCTGCCTAGCCTGTCTGTTTGAGGCGGATGCTTGGATTGTCCAAGCCAGTAGAAGAGCTCTGGGGCGGTGAGAAATGGAGGGGGTGGGGTGGGGAATACGGACCAGCCAAAAATGTTCTAGGCTGAGAATGTTTAAAAATGCCTGGCAGGGCACCCCTGTGAGGCCCACATGCTATGTCTAGTGAATCAGCCAGTGCTCACCCTTCTGTGGGAGAGCAGATATAGAGCCCAGTGGCCGTGGGAAGTGAGGCGCTCTGGACAGCCCTGACACGGGGCCACGTGGACAAGGGTGGTGGGAACAGAGCTCCTCTGTGGTTTCATCAGCCCAGATAAGTACAAGGACACTCAACCTCAGGCACAGGGCCAAAACTGAGCTCTGCCTGGGGTGGGAGGAGACTGCAGGCCTCCTGCAGGCCAAAAGCTAGACAGATGTTTTCCTCATCACCTCTGCCCCAAGGGCCCTGACCGCTGACTTGAGCCTGGCCTGTTTGCTACAGCCACCAGGACTATGGCTGCAGGACACTCCTGTCCTGTTGGTAGAAACACATGGAACTCACCCCTGGGGCCCCCAGCACTGACCTCCCATTCATCAGCATCACTGTAGAGGGTGACAGGAATGTCCTGGGGACTGTAGAAATGTTTGGCTCTTTCAGTTGTGACCACTGCTACTTCTAGCTGTCACCAAGAAAAGTGGGGGAAACCGTTACCACAGCCACTCGTGGAGGTGACACGGGGCCAGGTCAGGCAAGTGCTTTCTTCACAGTCTGGCTAGAGAGAGGAACTTCTCTCTCCCTGGCAGTTTGCATAGCTACTTCCGCTGTCATCCAAAGGTCAGGCCCCACCAGATATGGCTGTTTCACTTCCCCATCTAAGGAGCTGCTGAGGAATGAGTCACCAACTGTCCAGTGTATATAACGCTGCAGGCTCCTGACACTCAGGCAGAGTGAGGCGAGAGACAGAGCGAGGTGAGAGGCAGAGCCAGGCAGGAAGGGAACTCAGGGCAAGAAGGCCACCCCAAAGAGGCTCACGGGTCCTGAGCTCTGAGCTATGTCGAAGCCCTACCCTCTGTAGGCCAAGGCAGTGGTGGGGCTGGGGCCCAGGCCTTGGTGTCTGCATCCATGTCCCACTGAGACAGCAGGCAGAATCCCCTCTTGCACTTTTAGGAACAAGGACTCATGGGCTCCAGCTGCATACAGGCTCCAAGAAAAACAAACTTGTGTACCCTATACTCATAGGGCAAACACAAAGTTCACCTTCACACTACTCATTTACTAGATAAGTAAATAATGCAAACAAGGGGATGGTTAAGGTGCTTAACAGAATGAATGGCTGTGAGAAACAGCACACGGTAGTGGAAACTGCACTAGTCCAGTTAAGCTGGCAGAGTAAAGGGGCCCAGAAGAGATGGCTGAGAGGTGAAGGATGTAGAAATTCCATCTTTGGGTACATTTATCCATAAGGAAGAATAGTGAAGGGTGACAAGGACAGAATCATGGACTAACCCAAGCAGGGATCATGAGTGGCAGTGTCTGGGCCAGATCCAGCGGGCAGATGTGCTGTTTGGCCTGCATGGGGTTATAAACATTTTTAAGCCAATATATACAAATCAAAAAATTTCCCATAGAAAATTCAATTTCCTGGCTTCTCTTAAAAAAACTGAAAGTTCTGGCACTGCCGGCCCACATTCGCACTGATGATGATTTAATTGTATTGAGTAAAGGCTGCCTCTCTGTATGGGGTGCGCCTGTGCCAGTTCAGCCTAGTCCCCAGCCTTCTCTGTCATTTCACCGAGGCCCCCTTTCTTCATTTGTTTCCTGCCTATTATGGGACAGCGTTGTGCACAGCACCTAAGAACAAAGCTGGGAGCAGAGCATAGAAGCCTCAGGGAGGGCAACCTGCAGAAGAACTTCAGGTCTGGCGTTCCCAGCTCTACTAGGGAGCTCTCGGGCTTATCCATTCTCCTTCTCACTTCTCCTGAGATTCTACCATACTCAAACTTGCACAAAACCTCAGGGGCCTTTTTAAAGGTCGTTTAAACCAAACTCCAATGATCACTGGAGTCCCTTCTAGGCCAGCCCTAAACAAGCCTTGCCCAGTTCTGAACAAGATGGCGTATGAACGGAGCTGCCATCCCATCAGTGAATCAGCCCTGGAGATGCCTCAGGACCAGTCCAGGTAGGGAGAGCAGGATGGTGTTGAGACTTTTAAGACACAGAGTGATAAGGTAAAGTATGGGGCATAGTAAGTTAGAAGTAACCATAAGAATAGTAACATGTAACTTTTGAACAAACAGAAGAAAATTCAATCTACACATAAATAGGAAAGGGAAAAAAAAGAAGCGGAGAAAATACATGATAAGAAGAAAGCATTAAATAAGATGGCAGAAGTCCTAATATAATTTAATTGTAGTACATACACAATGGGTTAGACTTTAATCAAAATTCAGACTCTCACATTAGATGTTTTTAAATCCAATTCTAAAAAGACACATTTAAAACAAAAGGATAAGTAAAGGTTAAATCAAAGAATAAACTTTCAGTTAAATAAGGTAGATTAAACTCTGCTCCCTCTCAAAAGCCCACTGAAATAAAAGGGATTTTGTAAAAGGTATGAACCACCACCAACAACAAAATAAGAGGACCAAAAGAACAAAACAAAAATAATCCAGCAGTTAAAATATATAAACATATTTTTGGAAGATGGAAGTGGAAGGAGGAGGTATTAGTGGATCAAATCAGATCAGATTAGAAGAGATCAGATGCTATTTTTTAAAATGAACATCCAGGGAACAAAAAAGAACTCTTGGAAATTAAAATTATAAATAGTGAAATAAAAAATTTAATATAAGGTTAGTAGAAATCATCCAGATAGTAGAATAGAAAGATAAAGAGTTAGATAATAGCAGGGAAAAAAAGGTAAGAAAATCAGATCAGCTTCAGAGGTCCAAAATCTGACTAATAATGAGTTCCAGAAAGAGAGGAGAAAAAAAGGGGAGAAAACTACAAAAGAAATGAAATGAAATTTCCTGGAACTGAAGCACTCAGAGGTGGGAGCTATCTCTTCTGCCTGTAGGAGTTTGCGGTGTCCCATTGTTAGGCTCAGGGAACCTGGAGTATCGTGTCCCTCGAACTGAGTGTCAGTGCCTGCACTAGCATCAGCTCTTCTGGAAGCCACACCCTCCTGCTGATGTATATGGAACTTGCAATCAGCAAAAACTCAAAAGAGTTCTCACCCATGTGGCGGCTTATCAGAAGCCAGCCGACAAAGTAATTGAGGGTACCTGAAAGGGGGAGCATGGACCGAGGAAAAGAATTGCAGGAGGGAGCACAGATTCAAGCTGTGTCCCCAAGTTTATTTAGAACACACAACTTATAGCATCGCAATGAGAAAACAGCAGTCAAGACCCAAGGTCAGCCAAATTACTTATCCTGCAAAACAATGAAGTTCTCACAACTCAGAACTCTCTGCTAAACTGTAGCAAAGAATTTGCAGTGATTGCTATGTGAACAGTTGTCTCCCAGACAACCTCCTTAAGAACACTTGGTTTTTAACCCCTGACACTCTGCAGTGGTTCTGGCTGCAGCTCCCCACAGCGGCTAAGCCACAAGCCCCAGACTGTACCTGCACAGCTACTTTTCTGGTCCCAAATGCAGTCTCTCACATTTCTCTGGTAAAGTCTACCTTTCCAGAGTTGGCCCTCTGTTTGCTTGGTCTATGGAGAGCTCCTGAGATTTTAGTCCTGTTCCTCCTGGCCTGTTTCAGCTAGCACCACCATCGGGCAGCCCTGAGGCATGAATCCAAATCATGAACAGAACAAAGTCAAGAGCAAGAGCCCTTCCATAAGGTTCACAGGCTGCGGATGGAGGGTGGGAAAGAATCCATCCCAAATAGAATCTTCCACTAGTTATAAAAATGCTGACAACATCAACAGGTGGTTAGGGGATATCCTAGGATTACATCAAAGGCTTCGCCTAAATCCAAAAATACTTTGTCTAATATTAAAAAAAATAAACTAAAATTGATATGCCTCATTCCCAGTGAGCCAAATCAAGCCCCAGTGACAACCATTTCCTAAGTGCTCTTCTAAGTGCTCGCAAGCCTCATCTATCTGTGAAGCCCATCTCCTTCATCATTTTGATAAGTCATTAGTCATCTCCAGCCCCCAGCCTCTCTGCTATCTCCCGCATATCCTGTAGGTCACCAACTACAATCCCAGCACCCCAGAACAGAACCTGCCCAGGTCAGGAGGTGGATCACCCAACCTGGGTTCATGTCCTTTCTATCACTATTCGTCCCATCTTTTCAAGCTCAAAAGAAAAGACAGAAACAAAATAGGACACGTGAGCCCCTTCCCCATTCCCTTCTGTCCATCCTAATATTATGCCATTGGCCTCCAGCATCAGGCATTGTTTTGTTGTTCTTTTTTCAAATACATGTAACAGCCCTCTTGGTTATCCTGAGTTTCACCACAACTTCCACTCACTCTGGACCATATTCTATCTTCATCTTTGGTGACATATCTTCCTTTCCTCTGCTTTCCAATCTCCTTCAACAGAAGACTCCCCAGGTAGCCATATCAGTTTCTTTTCCTCATGGGGATTTTATCATTTCTTAGAGCTTCCCAATCATCCTGAACAATTTGCCACTTAAGAATGTCCCAGTTCATTCTCTATTCTGAAATTTGGAAAGCTGCTTCCTGAAGATCTAGTTTCCCTATGCTCCCCACTCCCGAACGGCCTGCCAGGTCTCAAAGTAAAGACTTTGCCTGGGGCCAGCCTTCAGAAACATTCCCAATTTGGTAATGGCCCTCTCAGGGGCTCCCTCCTCCCTCTCAGCTCTACATCCTGGGATGTAGAGGTTAAGAGGTTAGGGTCTCAGAGCCCCAACCAGGGGTCCAGGTAGGCTGCCCACTCTGGGCATTAGCCCCTGCTTGAGATCTTCTCTCTAAGCTCCTCCCCCAGTCTCTCAGTTGATCCCTCTCTGGCTACCCTCCCAGGCTACAAAGTCATTGTTAGGGAGCTTCCTGGTGTCACTGTCCCTACCTAAAGAGTACTGTGAAGAGTATGTATGAGCCTGTCCTTCTTGATGACCCTCCCCTGACCCCAATGAAGCAGCCACCTCTCCTTGGCAGTGACCGTGACCCCAGTGCTGTCTGGCAGGCCCAGACCAGTTTTTCTGGTTCAGAGGGATGTCACTTGATCTGATTCATCAGCCCTATGGGCTTTGTTCTTTCATTTTCATTCACTCTGCCAAAAGGTCCTGGGAGCCAAGGGCTGGACCCTGGGTTTGCACACATTAAAAAAAAAAAAAAAAAAAAGGCAAGTTGTGTTACCTTCTGAGATACTAAATAACTTGTACTATTTACTTGACCACGCTGACCTTTCTCCCAGCAAATGCCAAGAAGCCCTGGCAGTGCAAAAAACTCCTGAGGGCAGGAACCCTCCTTGGCTTTCTCTTACACTCTCCTGGGTCCTGGTAGAAGCAGAGCTGGGCATTAAAACAATCTCCCACACACTACAGAGTTCCTAAAAGGTAGTCCTTTGCTTGGTTCCCTGGCGAAACCACTACCAACAGTTTTCATATCTAATATTTTTAGCCTGAACCTCTTTGTGTGATGTGACGAAGGCCTGCCCAGACCCTATTATAGAAGCTGCTTGCTTTTTGCCTAGCATTTA